CCTAGAGGCTGGACAGTTTGGACAAAATTCTTGGCAGGGGCGCAGTGCCCGCACTTGATAGCACATATCACATTGGTAGATGTGCAGGTGAACGAAGAAGTGGGCTGTAGCCCATGAAAGCTTATGCTCTAATAAATTTGTTAGTCTCTAGGGTGCCACAAGTACTCCTGTTCTTTTTGCGGATACAGACTAACACGGCTGCTACTCTACAACCAAATAGAAATATTTTATTAAAAATATGAGAGGAAGACAAGGACAACACATGGTAAGTGCCATGCCTATCAGTGAAGTAAAAGGCATGTCATGCTCTGGGTCTGTGAGGCATGCCACAGTTTAGGTGATGATACAGCCTAGAAGCCATCTTGTGAATTGTATATGCCTTTCATGGTCACTTAGATGCATGCCACATGTAACAATGCTTCAACTCAAAGAGCAAAATATTGCAATTTGCTGGTTGCATAAATATAATAATGCTGGGCTTTATATAATTTGTGTATTTAGTAGTCACAATTAAGGTGTGTGTACAGGAGCATATATTATGTGTATCCTATTTATTAATGTATACAGTATGTTGGATAAACTGTTTGTCTAAAACTACATGTTCCAAAGAGGTTGACATTTTCAGAGCCAAGTAGGGTGTTTAGCTTATAGTGAAATTAATCCCCATTTAGCAAGGGTGCTGGAACAATTTGCATAGTGGGGGTGCTGAGAGCCATTGAACCGAACTGTAAACCCTGTATATAATGGAAACCACTTCAAGTCGGGGGTGCAGCAGCACCCCTAGTTCAAGCACTTATGCCAATTAGCCTTGAAAAGCTCAGAGTGGTTCTTTCTCTGATAATGTAATACTAATCTCTATAACTAATACATAGTAAAAAAAAAAAAGCTAGGAAGACTACATTGGACTGAATATTCAGAATAATTCTCATTGTAGATAAAAATGAATTAATAGACTCATACTTGATGGTAAGTATAAGTGAAAGACTGAAAGTATAGGTGGAAGATGAATGCATAGTGAAACCCCACTCGTAAGAAGATTTGCACACACTTTTATGTTAAAACAAGTAGAGCAATACAAGGTGTAAGTATTGGTGTGTTTTTAGTAAGACAGTTGGAACCTTATTTGAATATTTAAAGGTAGAATTTGGTCATAATGTGAAAATATACACCTACTTTTTTAGATATTCATTTTTTCCGAACAATTGTAAGAATTAAGCCCCTGGTCTGTAATATATTTTATTATCCTTTTGGATGAAAGATGCTACAGAATCTATCTAAGACATTTCTAGGGCATCTATCACCATATTAGCAGAGAGGCACAATTACAGATGAGGCCCATTATAGATGGAAAGGCATTTTAAAACTTAAGAATTGAACATTTGGTGATGTAATAAAGTAAACTTAAATGAATTTTTACTGAATTTGTTTTGGAGTGTGTTTGTTTGTCTTTTAGATTCAATATACCCCATGATGATAGTTTTAAGTGTAAAGAAGCTGGAATAAAATATCAGTACCATGTAATGGCCCCAACTTTAAATTATCACACAAGTCCATGGACCTGGTCAAAATGCAGTCAAAAATATATCACTGAGTTTCTTGAGTAAGTATCAATATAATGTTGTCTGTTTTTTCAATTGTTGTCTCTTGAAACTATTTAAAAAACATTGCTTAAATATAACTGTATGCTATTTTAAAAGCACTCTGTGTTCCTTTGTATTTGTTATATGCTATATTGCCATGGAATTGCTTTTCAGTTACTGAACAGTTTAATATTTTAATATTCATTCTTAGAAAAGTAGTCCTCAGTCCTTCAAAGACTGATGCAGGTGCTTACCTTTACTTACTGTGAGTAGTCTCATGACTTCAATCGAACTACTCACAGTGTGTTAAGTTAAGGACATGCTTCAGTCTTTTCAGGATCAGAGCCTTGGCAACACAATTAAGTACATGGTATATCTAGATCAAAATGCACACCCTCTTCTTTTTATGAAAAGCTTCTTTTTAAAATGAGAAATGCGGGTTATAATTAGATTTTTCCTGAGTCATGACCTTTTGATCTTTTCCTTTGCTATGACAATTTTTTCAATTCTCATTTTCTCAAAAATGCACAAAAGAGAGTATTGTTGATGAATTAATTGTAAGATAATCTTAAGCAGAATCAAATAGGGGAATTTTTCATCCATACCTGTAATTTTCATTTTAATACGCAGACTTGTAGATCAGCATCTAAAATATCAATTACTGTAAACAGTTTTCATGAAACAGTTGAAAATAAATAGAAACCTCTATAATTTTATTTTATATTACAAAAACTGCATATTGCTGTGCTGCATAATTATAGTGGTGATTGTCCTAAAATCATAACAATTGTCTATCTCTTATGGTTTATTTTTGAAGTTTTATGTTTGTTGTTGCGCTGATGTGATATTTTAGAAAGGCAGTTGTGAAGCTAAATATATGTGCAAACCCACAGCTTACTTTGTTGGGAGTTATGCATATGTAAACACTGTAAGATCTGCCCCCACAATCAATCAATTAGTGTTTTACATTTTGTAATATAATCACAAAGTGGTCTTATCTCCAAAGTTATATATTTGTAAAATTTCAATAAAAACAATTTATTTACATTTTGTTAATTTTATAACAGTACTGGTTATGGGGAATGCCTTCTCGACAAACCAAATGGAAGAATATATGATCTTTCATCACAGCTGCCTGGATCAATGTATGATGTCAACAAGCAGTGTGAACTTATGTTTGGTCCTGGGTCACAAGTATGCCCCTATCTGGTAAGTCACACAACACAGAAACCCATCTTTAACATTTATTTAACAATTTTTGAAAAATATTATTTGCAGTTTCTTCAAAATTGAAATGAAATCCCACACACTCTTTATCCTTAAACAATTGGTTTTTTTCCTTGAGCACGTGGAAGAGTTTAAAAAATCAGCACGGTAGAGGACAAGAAACTTCAGTGGAAAGCTTGGTAGTTCTAAGTGCTAGGAGAGTTTTATGTGGCGTTAAGGAGTAAGTGTAATATGGTGAATTAGATCTGTGCATTTATGCATGAGGTGGTTGTTGTAGGAAACTGAATTTATACAGATGTATTCTGACTTCAGTATTTTTCTCTTATTGTCTTACAAATGTATTCAATAATTATTCATTTTTACATGTTATCCATACAATAACCTACTCACTACACAATTTTTAATTAATTTAAAAAGTGTTCTTAATTGTGAGTTTGGTTTTAAAAAGTAGGTATAATTTTTTACATTAAATAAATAATTCATATACATGCTGAAATGAATGAGAAGGGGATCCTGTGCTTTATTTTATAAGTTATAACTCATGCCTGTTAGAATTGTAGTGCATAGAAGAGCTTTCATGATAAGCTTAACCCACAGGTCAAGGTCAACAGTTTCTTAATAGCAGAACAGTGAACTGGAAACAAAGCTATATACAGCTTGATACAATAAAAAATGGAATTTCAGTTGTTGGATGTCTGTACAAACTTTAAAATGTCATTATGGATTCATTCAGTGCTAAGAATTAAAGGGTAAGCACTGCCAATATGGCATAAAGGCTCTGCTTCCACCTGTAGAAGAAGACTTTATTAGCATTACCGGGTGGAACTAATTAGATATGAGAGTTAACATAGGATCAGATTTAGACAAACTTCAGTGGGAATATTTTTCAAGTAAATTGCTATTCATTGTGAGGCAGGGAATCAGAATCTGGCCCATAGTGAGTGTGGAATAATTTAAGATGGTCAGGATTTGTATACCCAAAGGTAGTGATGTTCAACACTGATTGTGTCATGATTTTGATATATCCATCTAGATTGTCTATCCAGCTGGAGAATATAACTTTTATACTATGCAGTAGTAATTAGGAAGACAGACTCTTTCCATTACTATATTTTTTTAGATGCACGATTGGTTAATTCATGGAACAGTCAGTTTTACTGACAGAATTAGGGTATTTGGTTTCCTTTCTATTGCCCTGATCCAAATCCTACTGAAATCAATGGAAGTCTTTCCATGGACATCCTGGGATTTTGGACCAGGTTCTATGTTCCACGTACGCAAACAGATCTGTGAGGTGGAAAATCTATAAACTTGAAACCCTCTTTTGCAGTATAGTATTGTATACAATATTAATTTTAAAAAATCTTATAACTTCTATTTAACTATATTTAATCTATAAAATTAAACACCCTATGACCATTTAATTTTTAGGCTTTCTCATTCACAAATGTATAGTGTGACTCATATACTCTCTTACTGTGAAAACCACTCAATATTTTTTTAACACTAAATGACAAATGTGCAATAACTCCATTGTAATCAATGATCATTTACACCAGAAGTTGAATTAGATTGAGGAGTCACAAATGTTGTTAAAGCCATCTTTTCCTGTTCATCCACTTGGGGACAACTAACCCTAGTTTGGCGACAGTTGAGAATTGAGTCTGCAGTTTTGGCAGAACTATTACAGTACTGTATATTGCATCTGTGAAATCATATTGAATACAGTTTTTAAAAGTGCCTTCGTGATTTTCAGTGGGACTTAGGCTCATTAAGGTACTTTTGAAATTTAACCCATTGTCAATAAATTGGTACCACTATGTGGAAATAGTAGTTAATGGCTTTACATGGTGATTATATTCAGACCTTATGATATGTAGTAAATAACCTGAACCTCTAATTTTTTATAAAATACCAAGTTATGATGTGAAGTTAACTGATTTTTGCTAATCTAGTGAGTTCAATCAAAATATTCCATATTATTTGTTTTTCCTTATGCAGAATCTCTTCTCTTGTTTTATAAGGAGTATCATTTGTGAACAATATTTTAAGTATAGCTTTTAGAATTCTCCTATTTGCAAACATTACAAAATGCATGCGGTAAGAGAAATGTAATTAATATGTAGGCCATTGAACAAAATGATGTTACAGGTGTAGCAAAGGAAATGAAATTTTGTTTTCTTTTCAGAAACAATGCAAACGCTTATGGTGCACAAGTGCTGAAGGAATTCACAAGGGCTGTCGTACTCAGCATATGCCATTGGCTGATGGGACAGAATGTGGTCTTGGAATGGTAAGATTTAACGTTTGCTATTTCTCAATATTTACTCATAGTAAAATCATGGAAGTAGTTGACAAGAAAGTCGAATATCCACTGTTTCTCTGCCTTGCAACTTCCGGAAACTGATTGTATGGGCGGCACCCACTTGACCTTAGATGCAAAGTTTGGCTAACTCATATAATGTTGTAGCATAAATATTATCAGATTGCAGTCTCAGGCCAGTACATACAAATGTTTAGGGATAGCACAATGATAACAACAGAGTGTTGGCCTTATGGGGAAGCTGCTATTTCTCTTTTCACTTCTGGGGTCCCAAAAGTTAGGGTCCTTTTTGACCAGTTGTTTCCTAAGCAGTTAGTTCTCTACTGCCAACCGTGCTCCAGAAATGAATTTCCTAGGGTATAGGTTTCTCTGGGCTGATGTGGTGGTGTTGTGATCTGCCAACCTAGACCCTGACCCTGCATAAGGAACTGCTAGCGTTGACCTATGTATCTGTGCAGAGTCGCCTTTGAGTAATCTGCTTGATATTAATCTGTGCTAGCAGTTCCCAGTGGAGCCCTAGTTTTATTATTTTTGATGTGCTTTCATAGATTCATAAAGTTTAAGGCCAGAAGGGACCATCAAATAATCTGATCTGAGCTCCTGTATATCATAAGCCATTACATTTCATTTGCTCACCCAGAGTACAGTAACTTTGTATCTTTACAGATTTTCTCTGTTGTTGTTGTTGTGTTTTTGATACTACATATATAATAGGGAATTTGATAATATAATTTGTTTTATAACAAATTAGTAAGGAAGGTTAATCTCCTGAAATATCATGATTTTCTTGTATCTTGCAAAATTAGAAAAAAAAAAAGTTACTGTGGGGCTGCCAGTGGGACTTTGGCCTGATTGAACCGTCATGTATTCAGTATTTAACCTATTTTTCTGAATTACTCATTAAATATGATGAGAGCTCATCACATTTGTATTAAACCTTGTGTGTAATCATTATTTTAAAGTTACTACAGTGAGTATGTACTGATATCAGAGTACTTTTGCTATGTAACCTAACAAAACCCCTTTGTTATGTTATTACTGCAGTGAAACTAAATAATTTTCTCTAGTAATTGAGAAGATAATCACAGTATTTAGAGTATTGACTTTGAAAGAATCAAAAACATGTGCAATGATTAATGTGATAAAGTGTGATTTGTCCCTATTTAAGGGTCTGCTTCTATGCCAATCAAAGTTGGTGAGAAATTTTACATGGTTTTCAAAGGGGATAGGAGATGACCACTAGTTATTAGCCTCTAACCAGTAAGACATGCTTAGTGTAATTGAGGTGCCATTCTATTTGAGCCATAATGTTGAATAAATCTATATTTTGCATTTTTGATTATGAATTATGTTGTAACATTTCTGCCTCTGTAGATAAAGATATAAATGGCTTTTTAAGGAGTTAATAATTTAGCCTAAAAGCACTTTTTAGAATTAAAGAACAGGAGTACTTGTGGCACCTTAGAGACTAACTAATTTATTAGAGCATAAGCTTTCGTGGGCTACAGCCACTTCTTCGGATGCATATTAGATTTAGCATGTTGTTTTTTTGTTTTAACAAATTATGTATCTAATCAATATATCTTGCTCTATTGTTGTGTATGAGTCTTATGCTATAATATAAAGGCTAATCCTGACAACCAATTGTCTGTTTCACTTTCCTAAAAATACCAACTAGGTTTAAAGTTAATAATACAGAATAAACTAAAGTGAGTGAATAGACAGCTATTACTGAACTCCTGGGTTGCTGAAGGCAACCTTTTTTCTCCATGTTAGTTTTTTAGTTGCAAGGTCTTTGGAGCAGAGGCTTTTTTATTTTTATGTTTGGTATTTACAGAGTTGAACACATTAATGGTATTTTAATAATAATAGTACATAATATTAATAGTAAATTTAGTCATTACTGGTGGCATTTCCTATAGTAATAGTAGGTAAAATGCAGCATTGTTTGAATCAGCATCTCAACAGAGAATAAAGGGAACCTTTATGTCAGGCTTTGAACTTCTTATCAGCTTTAATCACTTCATAACATTTAAACACTGGTTCATTTTCACTCTACACTTCCTGCATAGTCCATCTAGTTCATCACAGTGCACTTTCTTCACCTAACAAATGTGAGGATATACAGAAAATTAATTATTTTAGCAGGCGCAAAATAAACTTGTTGGACTTTCTGCCAGAATGTCTGAAAATTTCTTTCCCCCCCACCCCTTTTCTCCTTCTACATTCTGAATGCTGATGTCTGGCAATGGCCCAGTTGTAGCAGCTTTGCTTCTCCCAGAGCCACTTGTCAGTACATTGATATTCACATTGTGTACCATCCCTTCCAGGTGGTTTTTGTGTTTGCCTTCTGGGCTTCACAAAAATCAATGGGAGGAGGAGGCATCTGTGGGTTCTAATCCTACCAGCACAGGCCCACAAGGGAGCAGAGAAGGATACATGTTTTAGAATTCCTGGCTTACTTAATGCTCCACAGAGACTTTACTATAGAAAAATAATAAATAAAACTAGACTTACCATTGTGAATATTTGCTAGTTTGCAGGGGCATTTGCTATGGTGAATAGCTGAAATTTACAGCTCAGAGGAACAAATACTGAAATACCTGAAAACACTTCTAATGGCTGATTTGAGAGAAATAGTTAAATCGAACATACACATTTCTCGGGATTGCTTTTATAAGATTCTGAGAAAAAATATTATGCAGTACAATAATGGAAAATATTATAAGGCTGGTGCTTCCTCCCCCTTCCCTCAGTAATCAAAGTAAGTTACCATGGTAACATAATGTGAATTTAGAGCCAGATCACATGCTCACTCTGTAGTAGCTTTACCAGTGAGTAGTCTGCTCACTGGTAAAGCTAAGCAAATAACTGATTTTTTTTGGATCGCTGTCAGTTCTGAAAAAAGTGGGGGTAAATCGTTTCAAATAGAACCAAATCCAAAAAAGAATCGATCCAAAACAGATTTTTGTGAGTAGTGGGGGAAGAAGCAGCCTTCCTTACAATTTATAGCCCTGTGGGATGTGGGAGGCTCATGTTCAGTTTCCCCCTCTGTATGATGTGGAAAAGGGATTTCAGCTTGGGTCTCCCACATTGCAGGAGAGTGCCTTACCCAAAGGGCTGTGGAATGGGCAAGTTTCTCTCGATGTCTCCTGTTGGCGCTGTTCCACTGTGTCATTAGAGCAGGTACTTGAACTTGTGTCTCCCCAACCTAGGTGAATACTCTAACCACCAGGCAATAGTCACTTATACATTTTCTCTGGCACACTGACTAGTCATTGTCATTATGAATGACTATGTATTGCCACTGGAAATGTAATTTCACTATAATTTCCTCTTGCTATAAGGAGGTTTCAAGGGAAATAGAAGTTGTTTAAATCATTCCTTACAGTGTCTATGTCTACACTATAAAGCATAGGCGTGGGAAGTAAGGCTGCAGGGGGTGCTATAGCACCCCCAGGTTTTATGTGGGGGTCCCGGCTCCCGGTTGCGCACATGGGGTCCCAGCTGCTGGCCCCCGTGCTTGGGGTTCTGCTCCCGGCCCCGCATGTGGGGTCCCAGGTGCCAGCCCCGCTCCCGGCTACACACGTGGGATCCCAGCTGCTGGCCTAGGGAGGAGTATAAGAATATTGCTAGAGCATGCAGGGGTGTAATCAAGAAGGCCAAGGCACAATAGGAGTTGCAGCTAGCAAGGGATGTGAAGGGTAACTAGAAGGGTTTCTACAGGTATGTTAGCAACAAAAAGAAGGTCAGGGAAATTCTGGGACCCTTACTGAATAGGGGAGGGCAACATAGTGACAGATGATATGGAAAAAGCTGAAGTACTCAATGCTTTTTTTGCCTTGGTCTTCACAGACAAGGTCAGCTCCCAGACTGCTGCACTGGGCAACACAGTATGGGGAGAAGGTGAGCAGCCCTCAGTGGTGAAAGAACAGGTTACGGACTATTTAGAAAAGCTGGACATGCATAAGTCCATGGGTCCAGATCTAATGCATCCAGGGGTCCTGAGGGAGTTGGCGGGTGTGATTGCAGAGCCATTGGCCATTATCTTTGAAAATTCGTGGCGATGTGGGGAGGTCCTGGACGATTGGAAAAAGGCAAATATAGTGCCCATATTTTAAAAAGGGAAGAAAGAGAACCTGGGGAAGTACAGACTGGTCAGCCTCACTTCAATCCCTAGCAAAATCATAGAGCAGGTCCTCAAGGATCCATTTTGAAGCATTTGGAGGAGAGGAAGGTGATCAGGAACAGTCAACATGGATTCACCAAGGGCAAGTCATGCCTGACCAACCTGATTGCATTCTGTGATGAGATAACTGGTTCTATGGATATGGGGAAAGTGATGGATATGATATATCTTGACTTTAGCAAAGCTTTTGATACGGTCTCCCACAGTATTCTTGCCAGCAAGTTAAAGAAGTATGGATTGGATGAATGGACTATAAGGTAGATAGATAGCTGGCTAGATTGTCGGACTCAACAGGTAGTGATCAACGGCTCCATGTCTAGTTGGCTACTGGCCCCGTGCCTGCCCCCAGCCGTGGCCCCAGCCTCGGCCCCCTTACCCCGTCCATGCCCCCCCCCCCCTACTGGAGACACGGCCTTGCTCCCAGCCTCAGCTCTGGAGGGTGGGGGGGGGGGCGGCAAGGTAAAAAGTTTGGAGATAGTTTTGCTGGCTTTCAGCACTGCCACTATAAAAAGCGTTTCAGTGACACTGCTACAAAGTTAAGTTGACTTAAGTTACACTGATGTACAAGCCACCGCTGTAATGAAACCACTCTTGCATGTCCACGCTATGCTTCTTGTGTTGGCGGAATGCATCCACAGGAGCAGCTCTTGCATCAGCACAGAGAGCAGTGCACTGTGGGTAGCTATCCCACTGTGCAACTGGCCTTCTGGGTGTTTTGGGAAGGGTTTACTATGCTCATGGAGGCAGGTTCAGCATCACATGATGCAGGTTTCTCAATCCC